TATGACCTGATGTTCCCGAAGTTCTCTCATCTCAGCTCGAGTCGCGGTAACTTCCTTCTGAAGGGCCTTAGTATGTGATCCAGTGTTCGATTATGATCTTCATCCATACGACGAATACGAACTGCAGTAACTTCGGTGGTAGCACCAACCTCCATGATCTGGTTGGCGGATGCCCTTGCTTGTTCGCCATGGCGGGCGATGCGACGGACCATGATAGGGAGAGCCCTGTCTGCTGAACCCCCTCTTTTGATATTATAGAAACCTCGTTCCATACCATAGGGTGGGCGATGGCCCTGCTCTTGGCTCCATCTCTTCAAACTTACTGCCCATCGGGGTACCGGGCCCTGGAAGTTCCGTCTGCGGTTTTGGGCAACGTGTGGTGGATTGTAAACTTCGGGTTCTGAGTCGGTGTCTTCCTCGACTTCTTCTTCATCCTCTTCTTCTTCTGAATTCTCTTCCGGATCCTCCTCTATCCAGCCGCCGTTTCTCTGGTTAGGGAAGTAGGGATCTCCAGGTAGGTAGAATCTTGTCATAGAGTCTATTTCAGAATAGGGGTAAGAGGTACATAAAGAATCTAAGTGTGTGGTTTTATAGTATCATAAAATAATCCTATAGTATTTTAATTTTTGAGATTCTTTATACGGTTTGTTGGTAAGTTTTAGACTCATCGTTCACCACGACTATTCCTCGACAAACGTTAGTCATATCCTGGATAAATATAGTTAATCATGCTATATCCATCCTAGATCTGGATACATACCCCGAGGCCTACTCGTAGTGTTCAACATATCTAAATAACCTTTTGTTTTGTTACCGTTATGACACTGAACTAGTAAGTATGAATGTACTAATACTTTTATTGAAATATCATAATATTTTAAAGTATATTTGAACAAAAATGTTACATCAGAGAGTTTTAGTCCCATTGTATTTATAGTTTGTATATCTTATGTGGTTTGATATACTTAGTTCACTATAAACAATGCTCTGATACCAATTTGTCACACCCCCAAACCAGGATGGCGGAAACGTCCGGGGTGGATGACTTTCATGTATTGCATCATAACAACATGCATAATAGTGACCAAAGCAAAAACGAACATCATATATATAATTGAAAAAGTTACATCATTGTAAGTGTTACATGTTTGAAAAGTCAATTACAATATGATGACAAAAGATTTGTTTGACGCCTTAGCGTCCCATCCTCAAAAGCTGGTGGTTACTTGTTTTACTGATTCCCTGAGAATACAAGTTGTTTTGAAAAAGTGTCAATAATTAAGTTGGTGAGTTCATAAGAGTTTATATGAATAATTGTAAGTCACTCCTTCTAAAGTAATCGTGTTTGTTTCCAGAAAATCCGATATTTTCCATAGAAATGAGTTGTAGTCTTAAATATTCCAAGAACAAAATGTACAAGTATTTTCCATACTTAAAATAGTAGTAAGTAGTTTTTATTTGTATATAAAACCGTTTTGAAGAAATGTGTTTTCGTGTAAAAATAAACGTATCGTCGTTTCCATATGTGAGTTTTCATAACCGTGCTAAAAATGAAGTTGCTTGTCGCGACGTTCTTCAGGTGTCGAAGTGTTTATGACATTTGTCACCCATAACCTGTCGGTCTAACTATAGCTAACAGTTAGGGTGTGAGATCATCAGTACCGTACAGATCTATAAACAAGTATCACGCTCTCTTACGAGAGATTCTGGTTATAAAAACAGGACTTTCATGTATACCTCGGTAGGTACGATGAAGACAACGTCTCACAAATTTATTCAATGAGAGTACGTGTTTTTGTAATGAAAAACGTTTATATATGTAATTATCCACCTTTTTTCAGGATAATATAGGAAACAACGCAAATCAATTATATATATATATATATATATATATATATATATATATATATACTTTATATGATTACACCCTTTGCTCAACGGGTTACAAAGGTGGTAAGGTTCGCAAACTATATTTATATAGTTTAATGTAGTAAATAATTTATACTATATATATATATATATATATATATATATATATATATATATATATATATTTATAAGAATAATGTAGTGTATTTTGTATTCGTTTTTCATATCTTTACGTTTTTATCAAAACTTTGTATGTAAAAGTATACGAGGTTGGTAGTAAAGCCATTTCACGTATTTATCACTTTTCATAAAAATAGTAATTAAACGTATTTGAATGTTTGCGTTTTAACGTAAATTTTCTTGTGTGTTACTTGTATCCCCCCCCCCCCCCCCCCAAAAAAAAAAAAACTATAGACAAAGTCTTGAATAATGTAGGGGTATGAACTCAACTTATGTGCGGTTGCGGTTTGATAACGAAGTGAGGGTGATGATCTTCAAGTTAGAATACTTGAAGGTAGTCATATCCTAATCGTTTTTAACATGTAATAGTGTGTATAAATTAGATGTACTAACATGAAAATGTTGTATAGATACTAAATAAATTAAGGAAGCTTACAAAGATTCTTAAGAACTATCTTGTAGAACGTATTCATGGGATAGTTTGAAGGTGAACTTGGAGAGAAGGACTTGATCTTTTGAGAGAATATGTGATGAAATTTTGTTTAGCTGTGAATAAGGTTTGAAAAGGTCCCTAATTCATGGTTATATAGTGGAATAAGATGGTAATGAAGTGACATTTACATTGGTATGTGTAATTATCACATTGGGAAGATAATTCTACCAATCAAGTGACACCATTTGACCACCTTTTTGGTGATTTCGGCCAAGGTATGACCGAAATCACCTTGATTTCGCTTTGGTATCACCCAAGAAAGGGTGATTTCGGTCCTAGTGGTCCCTTAACATGTGTTTTTCGGTCTTGATGTTACTCTTTGAAGGGTGATTTCGTTCCTAGGCAACCGAAATCACTAGATTTGTGGGGTCGTAGGCCGAAAACCTTAAAGCAAGTTTTTAATTTGTGAATTTTGTTTTTAACTTGTTGATTTTTCCAAGGTTTTCAAAGTATATATATATATATATATATATATATATATACACACACAAATATATATATATATATATATATATATATATATATATATATATATATATATATATATTAATTTATATAAACATGCCCTTTTGGTTTTCAAGGTTCTATTGCATCAAAGTTACGTTGTGAATTCACTTGTACACGGTTAAAAATTTAGACATTGCTTATTCTAAATTTTTCCCAGTTGTCACACAAGGGAAAAGAGAAGTGGTCCCAAAAGGTCTCCTTGCTGAACCCCAGTAGTTAACCAAATATATGTGTTTCCTAGATAGAACCTTGTTGCTTGACCATATAGGAATTCTACCCACAAGGATATAGAAGGACATATCAATATGACCTCATGAAGTAATGCGGATCTGTCAACAAGGTTAAAGGCATTAGAGAAGTCCACGGTAAGCATGGAGAGAGATCCGTTATCGTGACGCTCACTCAACAACCTATTGGCGCTATGTAATACAGCCGCAACGCCACCCGACACCCCGACCCCGAACTGAAAATCATTGAGATACTTGGCCATTTCTTTACCAACACCTTTCATACTCAACTTGGAAACCAAACGTCTCCATATAGTACCTACCGTAATAGGTTGTATTCCCTTGTCAGGTTTTAAGAGCGGCGTGAGAGGAGCAGAGGCAACAAATTCTGCCTAACTCAAAGGGAATCTTCCCCTAGCCATATATTAACTACAAATGTAATAACACGTAGGACGTCTTTGGATATAGTCGAACCTTCTCCACAAAGGGTATCCAAAATGTGTTGAACTCTCAACCTGTCTCTCCCACACGAGGTACCTTTAGGGAAGGATTTAATTCCCCCAAGGACATTGTCAACATCCACTACAAGGGGAGGTTCTAAAAATATGGTGTTGGGCCTGAAAGGTGGTGTCTTGTATGGATGCTTATCCTTCAATGCCTTCGTGGTATCACCCCCAAATAGAGCAACCCCCGAAGAACATAAGACTTTCACTACTACTGTAAAATGTCCATTGACAACCTTATGAAGACATTGTATGACGTTGGTGCTGCTCAATGTTCTTTTCTCCTGAATGTACTCTTCTTTTTTGCCTTGTTGCTCCAGTCTTTCATTGTCAACTAAGTTTTTAACTAGCTTGGTGATACCATCTTCAGTTCCCCAAGTAGCTAAAGCGCTCAGGATATTACGATGTTGCAAAGACTGCCTGTTGCCACACCTACTTTCTTGCCTATTCTAAGAATTGAACCCAATGACATATAATCATGAGTCAAATGAACGCCCTTCTAAGAGTTGCTATGAGAAGATACACGAAGAAAGAATCGTAATTGATTGCATCAACGAGAGTATGCTATTGAGGGGGTGTTTGGAATTGCTGTTTAGTTTAAAAAGTCCTTTTTAACAAAAGGACTTTTTAACTTGTAGTTTTTTCAAAATGAGGTTTTAAAATGTGTTTGGATTAACTTTGTAGGGAGGAAATGCCAAAAAGCCAAAAGTTACCAAAAGTCACAAATTCATGACTTTTAAAACCACTTCTTTTTCTTCTTGCCAAAAAATCATTTTAAAAGGACTTTTAGATTTGTCAAACACCTTTTCAAACTTTTAGTTTTTTGAAAAAACCAAAAGTCCAAAAAGTCATTTTGAAAAGGAATCCCAAACACACTCTGAATATGTTTTTAGAGCTTCACTTTGCTTTGGTGGTTGGTTCACTTTTGCCAAAACTCTAACTATATGTAAATTGAAGAACAAGAATTAAATTAAATCAGTTAGAATATCTCTATTCCGTTACCAGATAAGAACTGATTCAAACTTTTCATATTTGTTGCTGCTACATGTTTTCCCCAAACCATATGTAATTTGTACCAAATTTAGAAGTTATTATTGTACCTTTACCTAAATAAGAATGTATTATTGTAATTTAACCAAAATAAAGGGGTTTAAAGGTAATTTATCCGATGTGGAGAAAGAAATCGTTTCCTCCTATATTCGATTCGCCCGTCGTCTCTTTGTCAGCTCTCCGTCTCTATCTACAAATCTCTCTCTTTTTCTCTCTCTAGGGTTTCTTTCTCTCTCCACGACTTCAAAATTTGTCTCCCACATCATCATCTTTCGACTATGGCCGGAACTCGATTGCCACCGGAAGACAACGATATCTCACAGGTACGACTGCCGGTAACCGCGGATCTGATCTCCGATGATGACCGCTCTGTTGCTGCTGACTCTTGGTCCATCAAAAGTGACTATGGAAGTACTCTTGACGACGATCAGCGTCACGCTGACGCATCAGAAGCTCTCGCAGCCGCACCGTATCGTACCGCCTCTGATTACAGGTTAGATTACTGTCAGCTGATGATACTCATTTCTGCTAACACGCTGTTTGTCGATTGTTGTAAGGGATTCAACAATGGAAGTAAAATTGTTAGATCTTTCTGTTTTAGTTAGGCATATTACTTGACTAGTTAAAATTTCGATGTAATGAAATTTCGGGAATTCGTGCTACATATAATGTATGTGAACTTCAATTTAACTGCGATAAAGTAATTGTTCAGTTCGAGTACATGTTAGGGTGCCATTTTGCTTATTTTGTTGAAGTTCAAGTGTGTTTCAGTATCCAAATGTGTCAATTTGTTTGCTTTGTTATGTATTGTTAACTTCGATTTACAAATAGACATTCAAATTCTCAACTATTCATTACATTTACATCCATGAATGTTGAACACATATAACCTCTTGTGCCAATTAGAAAACTTGATTTGATATTAATGCTTCAAACAACAAGAACCATTTCTGAATTCTGAATTTGCATTTTTTGTGTATGCATAGTTCTGACAAAGAAGAACCTGATGCTGAAACAATTACATCAATGTTGGGGTTCCAAAGTTACTGGGATTCAGCATATGCAGATGAATTGACAAATTTCCGTGAACATGGACATACTGGTGAAGTTTGGTAAGTTGTTATCAACTTGTGTTGATCATATTTATAGTTTTACTAGATTTAAAAACTTGTTCACTTTCTTGATTTACATAAATTCTTAATGCTTTTAGGTTTGGTGCTGATGTCATGGAAGTGGTTGCTTCCTGGACAAAAGGCCTATGTGTTGACCTTTCTCAAAAAGAACTTCAAAACCATCATGAAAATGACAATTCTAACCTTGATAAACAAGGCAAGAGAGATTTAGCAGATTGGAGTGTTCTTGATGTTGGAACTGGCAATGGATTGCTTCTTCAAGAACTTGCTAAACAAGGGTATATAATATATTTGACTTTATACAATATAATTCTTGTTCTTATAAGTTATAAACCCTAATTCTTGATGTTAATGAATTTAGGTTCTCTGATCTAACTGGAACTGACTATAGTGAAGGTGCCATTGACCTTGCTCAAAGCCTTGCAGATCGTGATGGATTTTCTACTATCAAACTCTTGGTAACTTTCAATATTAGTTTTGAGATTATATTATTATTATTATTATTATTATTATTATTATTATTATTATTATTATTGAAAGAAATTGGTTGTCAGGTGGATGATATTCTTGAAACAAAGTTGGATAAAAAGTTTCGTCTGGTGACAGACAAAGGGACTTTGGATGCAATTGGATTGCATCCTGATGGTCCTATAAAAAGGCAAGTTTGACTTTTTTGCCCTTCAAAAGTCAATCTGCCTTTTCAGAAATTAATTTATTTTTTTAATTTATTACAGGATTATGTATTGGGAGTCCATATCAAGACTTGTAGCTCCTGGTGGCTTACTGGTAAGTATTATGTAAACAAAGACTGTGTCTGAATATGGGTAAATGACCATTTTACCCTTCTGTCATTTAATGCAGAATGTCAAATGACTATTTATTTGAAAAACTTTTGCAAAATCAAAAAAATTAAAATACTTGAAAAAGTTGTCTTCTCATTGAGTGATGAAGGGGAGTATTGAGGTGAAGGGTAATATGGTAAAAAGCCAGCATCTTTATTTATATATCTGTCCAAGATTAAGTCATGTTGATATTAATTTTATGAAAAAATCTGGTTTAGGTTATTACTTCATGCAACCACACAAGAGATGAATTGGTGCAAGAAGTTGAAAACTTTAATCAAAGAAAAGCCCCTGAAGAATCAGATATTTCCAGAAACCCCCCTATATTTTCCTACTTGGATCATATTCGGTCCTATCCAACATTTATGTTTGGAGGATCTGTTGGGTCCCGTGTTGCTACTGTAGCATTTCTTCGTAGCTAAGTTAGTTGTGTGTGTGTTTTGTGTGGTGTTCCTTGTGTGTGTGTTGACTTGACTGAAGATGAAACTTTTTAAAAACTATACTTTCTATTAGGGGTAGTTATGTCAAAACCACTTTTCTAAAACTTAAAAAAAACCCTGCATAGGATGATGCCAGGCGTTTTGAATTTTGTATCCTTATTAACTTTCGCTTAAATTTACTTAATTGCCCTTGTTTCATTGAAGTTGTATCGTTATTTGATACCTAAAATATCTTCTTGTTTCCATGTGATTTATGACTTAACTCAGTTTGTTTTATCGTTTTCTGAACAAGTAAAACCTTTGATATATATTTGGTTGTCGTTAGAGTTATATTTTTGGGTTCATATAATCAATGTTTAGTCTAAAAGATAAAAGATGAAATCAAATTGAAGTCTCTAAATTCCATAATCAATGTTTAGTCCTGATCCTTACTAGCTAAAATCTCCTCCAACCTAATTCATGTAACCATTTTCTCTCACAACTCACCTCCCAATAAGAATCTACTATGAAGAGACTCGAAACAATTAATGATATCATTTGATGCTCTAAAAAGAGACATAAAGTGTAACATTCTAGAATTTGAATACTTGGTATGTTAAAGCGATAAGATAAAATGTATTTGAATTAATACAAACATGAGATTTTCGAAAAAGGGGAAATTTGGCAATAATAACGAAATATATGTCTAAAAATGTTGTACATGCAATCTTGAATGAAAATTTATAAGGTAGGGTGTATGTAGTGGAAATATTAAGACACGTGTTATAAACTAAATGAATCGAAAGATTCATGTTTGGTTCGGGAAGGGATCATGGAATTTTTGAAATGAATAGAAAAATAAAATACTTTATTTTTAAGGTCATGAAAATCAGACTTAAATGTATAATAAATATGATATAAATGTTCTAATATGAATACGAGACATTAAAGTACACAACTTAAAATTAAACATTTAACTTAAAAACAAACATGTGGCGTCTCAAAAACTAGTAAAAATTTTAAATTTTAAAAAGAATAAAAGTCATTTCCATAAAAATAGATCATCGCCAAAACACCCATTTCACAATATGAAATTAAAATCAGAGTATCATAATAAACGTCTCTCAAAATCATGTAAACAATCGGATAGTGTGTACAGTTACGCCTTCGCTTTTCCCCGATCCTTAGAAATACCTGAAACATTTAAACCCACAACTATAATCCAAAACTTAATGACTTCACCAAAATATCACATATAATACATCACAGCTAAACATATATAATAGTTATGAGTTATCAGCAACCCTATGTGTTATCAGCAACCCTTTTGGACTATCAACACTCCTAAGTTATCAACAATTCCAACAACTATGGGTTATCAACAACCCTGAGTTATCATTAACTCAATTACAACACATGATATCAGTAATACAATCAGAATACCCACCTCATAGATAAAGCAAAAAACTCCTATAGCCCGCAAAACGAGAAGGAATGTACAACAACCATAAAAACATGTAATCAAAGGTCAATTCTCAGCCATGACCTACGCACATGAAGTTTGACCTGAAGTCAAACTTAGTCAAAAAGCCAACAGTTAGACCACCACACTATGGCCAATCCCTGGTCATGTCGTGTTAGCGAGAAAACAACATTTGCGGGACTCAGGAACCCACCGCGCTGTGGCTAGACCTTGATCACACCGTGAGTAGTCTCAGATCAGAACATCACTACAAATCTGCCCACCATGCCCTGGTCAGTCCATGACCATGCCGCGATCTGCATGGCAGATTCAAGTTCTTATCCAGCTCTTAATCCGTTAAGTCCACTTCTAATATATTCCAGAATGCTTCATGCCACGCTAATGGTCCATAAAAATTGCAACTTTATGGACATGCATGTCCTTCTCCTATTTAGGTCAAAATGGTAAAAGTGAGGCTTGTACTCCATGCATGGCTCCAAAACCATCTTAAATTCTAGATCCATAAGATAAAAAAACTCCATGGGTACTCAAGATTGGTAATGTTGCAAGCTTTATCTGGAGTTCTTCTATAAACTCAAACCAAAACCATATATGGGGCTCAAAATGCCACAAAATGCTAGATCTAGAAAGCTTAAACCACAAAGTTGGGAACTTGAACACTTACATAGGTTCAAATGATGCACAAGGTGTTGGATCTTCTCTAGAAATACGCGCAAGCTTCAAGGGGAAAGAGAACTTCCTTCAAGAACACACAAAGGGCTTAGAACTTATATATATATATATATATATATATATATATATATATATATATATATATATATATATATATATATATATATATATAGAGAGAGAGAGAGAGAGAGAGTTTAGGGTTTAGATATTCTTCTGGAAAGGATGGAGGCTGGGGTTGGAGGAAAACCCTAGCCCCATCATTCCTTAAATATGGCTCAAGATCCGAGACTTAGGGTTTTGAACCCAGCCTCCACCGCGTCGTGGTCAATTAAAATACACATCTACTTAAATGATGTGGACGCGCCGTGGTGATTGTCCATCACCATGCCATGGTCAGCCAAAATCCCTAAAACTTATAAGATTTGAAATAATTAATCCAAAAGAATAATGCCTAGAAGACAGAAGTTACAATTCTCCCCACCCCACTTGAATCAGATTCTGTCCTCGAAATTCGCCGCAACGAATAAGTCTGGGTAGTGCTCGCACATTTCCTCCTCGGGCTCTTAGGTCCACTCAGAACCCTTGCGATGCTGCCAATGCACCTTCACTAAGACCACGTGCTTGTTGCGCGAGGCCTTAATCTTCCTATCCAATATGGCTATCGGTCTCTCTATATCGTCCAGGCGCTCATCCACCTGAATGTCCTCTAACGACACCACCTATGAGTGAGTGCGGTGCGGTTATTGGCCAAAACCTCACCACTAACTGCAAATGCGGTTAATCCATTTTCAAAACCGATTAGTGCGGTTATTTTTGTGGTGCGGTTTTTTATTTGTGGTTCAGTTATTAATCGCATGGATTTGATGCGGTTATTTTGTGTGGTTTTTAACCGTGGTTAATCATTTATGATTTTACATGACTCGTTTGAACAATTAAGACTTTTTAAATGGTGTTAAGAGTTCAAACATGTTACTTGTAATAATAAAAAACATAAAGGATATATGAGAGTTAAGGAGGAGGCCTTAGCGATTAAGTTTGACTGCATGAGGTAGGCTGTGGCAAACACGATGGAAAAGAATTCTTTGAGAAGTCCCGGTCAATCAAAGACTCAACTTTTAGTTCTTTTTATTTTTTTTAAAATATTAATATATTAATAATTAATAAAAAATGTAAATAATATTATAATATATGCGGTGCAGTGTGGTATTTTTGCAGTTTTTGAAAATTAATAACCGCACCGTACCGTAATTTTGTAGTTTTTGAAAAACAGAAAAACCTCACCATCGGTTTTCGTTGCGGTTGTGGTTATTGATTGCGGTTTATGCGGTTTTTTCGGTTATTTTTAGTTGCTGTGTGATTTTGCTCACCCCTAAGTCACCACCGACGAATAGTCTGCTAAACACTTTCGTAGATGGGAAACATTGAAAGTGTGATGAATCTAAATAAGTTCCTCTGGTAGAGCCAACCGGTAGGCCACCTTGCCCATCCTGACAATCACTCGGAACGGTCCGATAAATCTGGGTCCCATCTTGCCCCGCTTCCTGAAGCAAATAACACCCTTCCAGGGAGACACTTTCTGCAATACCATATCCCCGAATTGAAACTTAGAATGACGTCTGTCCGTACAACTCTTTTTGTCAACTCTGCGCTGTCTACAATCTCAATTTGGCTTACTGAATGAGCTCCATCGTCTTGAGCACCACCTTGGTGCTCCCCATGACCCCCTGACCAACCTCCCCCTAACAAATCAGGGTCCAACACTTCCTCCTATAAAGAAGCTCGTAGGGAGGTTCACTAATGCTGGAATGATAGTTGTTGTTATATGAAAACTCCGCTAAAGGAAGATAAGAATCCCAACTCCTACCAAAATCGATGATACATGACCTCAACATATCCTCTAGTGTCTAAATGGTCCTTTCACCCTGCCTATCCGTTTGCGGGTGATATGTCGTGCTGAAATGCTGTCAAGTACCCAACTCCTCATGGAACCTCTTCCAAAACCTGTAAGTAAACCGAACGTCTCGATCTAACACTATAGAAATAGGTACACCGTAACGAGCAACCACCTCTCGAATGTAAATGCCGACCAATTTCTCGGCCAAAGAACTCTCTTGGATAGCAAGGAAGTGTGCACTTTTGGTCAGACGTTTGACGATAACCAAATAAAAATAAACCTGTTAGTCGTCCTTGGTAAATTCGTGATGAAATCCATGGTGATCTGTTCCTATTTCCTATTTCCATACGAGAATTCGTGATAATATCGGCCTTGGCTTTCCGACAAATCAAACACCTCTCAACACACCAAACTATCTCCATCTTTATGCATGACCGCTAATAACCAACTCTCAAATCCTTGTACATCTTCGTTGTGCCAGGATGAATCGAATACCTATACTTGTGTGCTTCTTCCAACAATGTCCGTCGAACCCATCCTAAAAATGGGACCCAAACCCTACCACACCGAGTTAGCAATGCATGCCTATCATTAACAAAGGTATCAATATGACTCCTAATTTTCTCCTTATTTTGATTTTCTTCCTTGATCCCCTCAATCTGTGCCTCTCTAATCAAATACAATAGTGGTGACGTGATGGTCATCCTATGATAGGAGCGCTAATCACCTTGTGACTCAAAGCCTCGGCCCCCACATTAGCCTTCCCCCGGTGATACAAGATTTCACAATCATAATCTTTCACCACGTAGATCCATCTATGTTGTCTCATATTCAGATTTGGCTGATCAATCAAGTATCTCAAACTCTTGTGATCCGTGTAGATGATACAAGGGACCTGTAACATCCCCCTTCGGCACGTATCACAATATTGTCCGCTTCGGGCCACTCGGCACGAGGACTTCCCAGGGGGTCACCCATCCCGGTACTACTCCCGCCCGAGCATGCTTAACTGTAGAGTTCTTATGGGATCTGCTGCCCTCACGGCTTTAAAACGCGTTGTGATAGGGAAGGTGTCAACACCCCTTATAAGGAATGACTTAGTTCTCCTTCCCAGCCGATGTGGGATCAGGTCTAACCCACCTTCACCCCCCATTATAGGGTTCGAC